ATTAAAACAGAAAACCACACATTCATTTTGTGTATGAATACGAGACGAGTGTTCCGTAATCTTAACGCTACGGGACCATGGGACATAGTTCTATCACGTATACCTTGCTTTCCACAACATCGCATCTCAATTATGGACACCAAGGGACCCGCAATTTTCTTTAACAAGTATCCGAAGTTAGAAAAGCATCATTGGCCAATGCATTAATTTACTGTTTCAGCACCGGATAATGACAGAGTAAATTCGGAACGCATCGCGCAAAAAAAAATATAGTTTTACAGAAACGTTGATTATCGGATTACTAAACAGTATCTTATTCTAATGGCTGTGACATCCAAGTACATCTCATATTTCTTATTATGTTGAAAAGTTCTTTTTGTCTAGCGATAACCAGAGTTGCCTCAGAAGCCAAGCTCTTGTCTTTGACTTTCGGCAAAAATAAGAGAAATGGTCATACTTGGACGTCATATCAGTCAATCTTACTGTGTCTGTATGCTTCATCTCCTAAACCAATAAATGTTTAATATTAAATTTGTTTTGGTGTGCCAAGATAACAGTCTCAGATAATTTGCCACGCGTCGGCCAACAGACGTCTCTCCTTTAAAAGAAATCTGATATTCATCTTTACCATTTTTTAATGTATTTAATTAAAACAGATATCATTATTATATTAAAATCTTTCAAATACGTGCAGTATATATTGTTGGTTTTTACTTCCACGCGCGTCACCTGTCCCAGAAACCGACTAATAAATATGTGAGTATTAGCTGTCACTCACCATAGGTATTTCCTGAATCTAACCCATGTTAAAAGATGCTCTTGTTAGCAGAGATTAGTTAAGAGTTCATCCAGACGTAAGAAATCCCCAACTAGAAAACACAAAAGTACACATTTATTTAAATTTTGCAAACTAATAATAATGACAATTTATTATGTGATCATAATGATTACCTTCGCAAATAATAAATTGTAAGTAATTGAGGTTTTCACAGCGGTGAGTACGAAGATTTCTGTCTTCTGGTTTGTTGCGCCGTGTAGTCTGGTCGATGTTTACCAACGTTTCAGAGGTCATACTGCCTCCGTCATCAGGGCGATTCATACTACACAGCGCAACAACCCAGAAGACAGAAATCTTCAATAAATTGTAAGTTTCTATATAGTGTGATTAGCTGTTAGCAGCGTATAGACCTAGACAAAGACAGGAGAATATTATTAAAGTGTATCTATACGAAATAGGATGAGTTGTGGACTTTGCTCAGGACAGGTACTAGTAGTGGAATCAGGTTCAAGTAGTAACAAACCTACAGGTAAAATAGAAGACTAGGAATTTGAGTGCCAATTTCTTACCAAAAGATTTTTATCTGCACCAAATTAATGTAAATACTAACGTTATTTATAAAACTGAAAAAAAAATAAGAATCTGATAAATCAGTTTTCATGCTTTTTCTAAACTAAACCATTTTCTAAAACACAAGTATATGACATCGAAACAAGAGGTCATATACAATGCGTATTAAAATTAATTCGGTTAAACCCGACCGGAGAGTAAAAATGATTACTGATCCAATCTCATATCGAGGTTTACAGTGCATGACGCTTTACTTCCATGTCAGTATATGCTTTCATGGCGAGGTATTTTAATCACAAGGGTGGATTAACATTTTTTATACTGAGTATATCTTTATCTTAAATCTTTCATACCGTGTAGCAACTCAATATATAATAATATATTCAACAACTATTAACACTGAGCAGTACTATGTTACAGACCATAAGCGTTTCGGCCTCAAGGGGTCATCTTCAGTCACCAGTCAATAGGTTACATTTCAAAATATATTTATATATATATATATATGTAAATATTTTAAATGTCTGCTAATATTATTTAGTATTTAAGACCCACATATAATGTATACAACTATGATTCAGAGCACAGTGCATTTCACCAATTTCTTACTTTATTTGCCTTTCCTTTAAAATGTGACTGCAATAAGATGACATTCTATAATAAGCATAATGCTTTCTCTCGTACATCAACATTTCCGTGAAGTGCCACTTAGCAAAAGCAACGACAAGCCTACCTGCTTCCTGCACCTCTGGGTGCAATGTGCATACACTCAACGTACGTAACGTAAAGGAACCACTTTCATTCCCCTCACCTTCCACCTTCGTCATCACAACAACAACAACATCCGTCGACCAAACGTAAAGTGTTCCCACTGACGGCATCCGACAGTTTAAATTATTTCGTCATGTGCATAGTACACGAGTTTCGCACCAGAGTAATATACGTCAGTTTTCACTAATCAACATCTAGAAAACTTGAAAAGCAAATGGGATGATAATTTTAAGCATATCTTTAAAAGTACGGTGTCAAGCTTTAAATTTGTTTGAAATGGCGAGCTTCTTAACAAAGCCACAACAGGCGAGGAATTTCTTTATTCGCTGAGTAAATATTAGCTTTCTAAGGAGTCATAACTGGCAATGGAATAAAACGAAGGGCACAGAACAGGATATTACGCTATTTTGTATTTAATTATTGTTACTAACCTAGACTAAACCTTATTACACGCCAAATTCTCTTGTATATAATATCAGTAGTGTACTTAGTTGTGCAACCGACTATGAGCCTTAATACTGTGGAGGCTAGATCACGTAAAATGCGTTAATTGCCACATACACAATCAGGAATTCGACTGTTTTCTAGCAAACTGACCGTTCTTAATAATGTAGTACACATAGCAGATAATACAACAATATTAGCTGAAGCGACCACTGAAATGTACGACAAAAGTCCTTATTATTAAATCCATTGGGGTCATAATTGTAATTTGTGTGTTTATTAGGACAATTATAAAAAAAAACTTAAAGTAATGCCCGAATACTCACACCTCCTTTACGTCCGATTCACTGCATAACATCAACAGTTGAAACAGGATGTTGTCTCGGGATAATACTACCACACTGCAAAAATCTTTATTGAAAGTAATTTTACGTAAACAGAATAGCAATACACAGCTAGAAACTTATTGTATGCTTTATCACAGTGACACTAATAACATTTTTCATGACCACTACAGTATTCTGCTATTAACGTGCTATAAATAAAAGACGAAAGAATCAAAATGAATGTGGTAACATTATTCTGGAAAACTCTCTATTCTAAAAATTCATAAACGATCAATTTCTCAGTCGTCTGTGAACGTAGCTTTCACCGATCTTCGCTTACTGGTGATTAAGAGTTACCAAGAAGAGCATCACTACCGAGTAACTACGTACAGACAACATGATTAAAGACACAATAATGGATTGGTTGGTATAGCATCGCCATAGGAAGTTTCTCGTGCACACGAAATCTATAACTCACCAGGTCGAAAAGCGATCCAATTAATTTGAAATTCCATGCCGTTTGTAACGTCCTGGAAGATTTTCAACTAACAGAAACCACTGAAATGGTTATACCAACAAACCAGATAAAGTCAACGGTACATTACGAGAGAGAGAGATCGTCTCAATTGAACGTACGATTGTGAAAATGCTAATTTGATACGTAATACGACGAAGAAATTGATTTGAATTCCATGCAGTAGTTGAGATCACTGGAAACTGGAAATGTATCATACAAATATGTATATATGCGGACTATAACAATAAAACGCCCTGATAATGGAGGCAGCAAGCTCCATTTACATATATATATGGCACTTTATTTACTGCTCAAACGATGCAACGTTCAACACATGTTCTAAAGAGATGTAACCTTTGTAAGTAACGGCGTTTTAAAATTAAGACATATAATTAGTTTATCTTATCTCTTCACACTTCCCAATTTGATACATCAAATAAGCCCACGGGCCTATTTCATTCAATAAGCACTGTTTATAAATTCTTAAGTTTATTTCAACTACAGAACAAGGTGTTGTTTAAATTGTCTCAATTAAAACTCCTGTTAATGGCTGTAAAGTTTATGAAATTAGTTTACTACACAAGTATCAGATTCAGAGCAACATTCCTTCACTATGTATTGCTATAAACGCTTTAGAACTTTGAAATAATAATTTGGAACGTCCATTCATTTCAAAATTAAAAATAAGAGGATATTAAACTGAGGCCAGCGTGCTTAGAGTTTTTAATAACTAACATAACCTTTTCTTTTTTAATTTTTAAATATGAAGACAGGGCTCGATGGTGTAGACTGGAGTCATAGGGTGAAGGAACTTTCAGGTTATATGAAAGACGAAATTATTCACCAGCTGAGCTTTACAACGTCTACGCTCCTTGGACTTGCTAAATCTTTTGAAACGTGAAGGACCGTTTCACACACACACTGTAAAACTGTTATTTTTCTCCCTTGTTTACAACACAAAGAACAATATATAACGTCACAAATTAAACACACCAATTTATCAATAACATTAATAATAAATCATTATCATAAAAGTGTTTTTTTTCCGACTTACGTAGTATTCTTATACTGAGAACATTTACTTGCGTTAAGTACATGAATACAGGAAATACTACAATGTAACATATCAATGGAATTACACCAAGTTCCAAGCACAGAACACAAAATTTGAGACACTTTACAGATTATACTGACTCAGAAGCCTCTAATATAACATCTGGCCATGTTGCAACTGAGGCTTGCTTTCTCATTGGATCGCATGACAAAGACAAATAGCTCGTTACATAAACACACCTAATTAGAACCAGCTGTCTCCTGCCATTACACAGATTTTTAACTGAGGCGCAGAATGAGAAGTTTCACTGGCGAATAAAACTGATGACATTTCAGGATCGACAACTTGACAGATTTATCAAGCGTGAATCAAAACGACACAAGTAGACATTTCTCTTTAGAAATCTTCTTACATGAATAGGTGTTTGCTCATCTTGTATTAAAAGCATTGCATGATACATCCATTAGCTTGGTTAACGACTAAAACCTGCTAAGAAAAGTATTTGGATGTATTTTATAATCTTTTTCTACGTAAGATGGTGTGTGCAGCTTATGGGGTTGTCTTCTTGATTGAACTGGAAATGAAGGGATATGATTGTATTAGGTAAAATATGTCGGAGAGACAGAATATACAAGAAAGTATAAGGGCGAATTTCCAGTATTAGGAGCATTATGATTGAATTAAGGGTAGAGTCGAGAATTTTAAAGAATACATTTTTCACACGACAGTTTAATAAAATCGTATTTTATTAAATCCTAGAAACTCTTAATACAAAAAAGAGAATAATTGAAGTAAATATGATATACACAAATCAATGGGAGCTGTTTAATTGTCATAATTCTCTTAGCTGCAGTAACAGATTCTAGACGATTATTCGCTGATAACTGTCCACTATATTCTAATTAAATTTTCTGAAACACTTTATCTTCACTCACTAGAAACTTTTTCGTAGTAAGAATATATTCAGCAAGACAGTGCCGAATATCGGTGTCTTATTCCCATACTTGGTACTCAGCACTTATATTTGAAATTATGTTAACAGGAAACTTTCTGATAGCAAACAGCAAAACAGAGTTGAGTCATCAAGAAGTGAACTTAAGTTACGATTCATTCACGTTTTATTATTACAAAAGGGCAAAATTCATTTACCGTAATATTATAAGCGCCTTCGTCTTAGCACAAACAAAAGTCGAATCGCCCTGTCTGTGATCACAACTGCTGGTGCTTTAATCTCGATCCGTTTGCACGTCTGGAAGAGTCTGTGCTGCTTTCTACGGGAAAAATAAACAATCTTCATGATTTTCTTAGGGGTACCCATTTTTAGGACATTGCCGTTATTTGGTCCATTTACCTAAAACTTTGTGTTTTAGAATTTCATATTTATCGTAACTTTATATGCAGAACGCATTCATTTTGGTATACCTGTTAAGCACTCGCAATAGCAAACCGTAGGTTTATAACGTCTTTCATTCAGTTTTAAAATTCATAACGAAACTACCCTGGGCACAAAATTAATGCTAGGCTTATCAAGTAGTAGTCGTATAGGATCTCTTTAAAGGAGCTAAGACTTCTATACGTGTAACATATAGACTTAAAATGACCCTGCAATTATCTACGTTCTGCCTCTATTGTAGCAGGAAAATTACCAACCAGAGAAATTCGTTGTCATGGTCGCGTCTTCTCCCTCGTGAACTGAGGAGTTCTTTGTTTAAGGCCAGCCCTTTGTTTGAGATGGAAACGGGTGAAAAGCTGAAGCTATTTACTTGCACTGTGATGGTGGTCATGTTGCTGTTATCACCTCACGCTGGGACTCAGCCTCGCTCACTCACTCCCCCACTTTCTATAGTCAGCTCGCCTTTTGCAGCTGCCTTGGAAATGGCATTTGGAATTCAGTGCTAGAGGGTCGCCCTGCATTTATCAATTGGAAGGACCGATCCAGAGGTGTGACGCCATTACATGAACTAGTTCTACTTAAGTGCGGGAAAATTAAAGAGAAGTCAATTGATAGCAAATACGTAATCCACAGTAGCTTCGATTATGACCTACATCTGTTTATCACACAATAATCGCCAGAAATCACTTAACACTAAAAATATCTGCAGCTTAAGAATCGATTATAATGCTGATACTATCAAAGAAATAGGTTTTAGATTACAAAAGTATATTCCAAATATGTATGAACCTATCATTGTGTGAAATCTATAAAAATATAATACCAAATAACATTTAAGGTCCTCATGGCGGCGAGTATAAAGTAAAATGTCTTCTGTGATATTGAGCTGTGTTGTCCGGTAGAAATTAACGTTTTTAGAGCTGCTGGCTGTCTCCGTCAACAGAGAGGCAGTTATTACCTCTGAAATGTCGGCCAATTTCTACTAGACCACATAGCACAGCATCCCAGACAACAGTCATCTTGAATATGTATACCGTACAGCACAATTTCCGGACAACGCCATGCGTACTGCTGAAGGCTATACTTCGCTTTGGCCGATTCTTAAATACGTAACTTCATTTACAGCGAAGTAAATATTTTGATTATTTCACGTATTAAGAACAGTCTAACCGCAATGTTATAAAAAGTGAACAGTTGTATAGAATAATCTCTTAGGTTATCGGCAGTTTCATTATGGTGCTCAAACTGTGGAGTCTGTATAGCTTTATAGCATTTGAAAGCAACAGAACATACTATAAAAAAGTATTAGCCTACAGAGACTGAGAAAATAGCGGTCATAATTCAATCGGAACAGCTGACTGGCCTTCCCCTATATAAATAAACGTGTAAATACTGAACTAGTTTGCTTCATCACTCGTCTGTTATTTTATTGAAGAATATCGCGTAACAAGAAAGCCAGCATATATCTTCAACGTAAAATGTAATATGTTTTATGCCGTGTGCAAGGATTTATAAAATAATATATTCACTTTTCGCTTGATAAAATGTGGAAGTACGGCTTAATATTTTCATCTTATTAGTTCTGACACTTAGTACTTTAAACTCGACAGGATGGATAGTAGGGGTATATAATGGTTTCTGAAATTCATGAAGGAATTGATTGTTCAAGCTTCGATACTTTTATATGTCGTGTTAAAAGAAATCACTAGAATATAATCCACGGATTACATTACCTATAATTATCTACTGTGTTCTAGTTTGTGTAAGTACAGTTAAATGTTCTTGGTTTCTCGATGTTGCGTCAGTGACTGTATAAGAATTATTGCAAGCTTACTATGCCTCATTTACAGTTACTTGTGACTTGCAGTGGACAAAGGAGGAGTAGGAAACGCCCACTTTATCCTTTCAATTCTTGAAGAAGGTTGTTTGCTCACTCTTTCTAGCTGACGAACAAACTTGACAGAGCAGGAAGTAGACCTGAGGAACAATGTAGCTATTCCCACGAGCAATATCCTGTTTCAATTCTACTCACGAACGGAAAAATGTCATCATAAACCGCGCCAGGTAGATGAGAGAGCGACCGAACGACAATGATATCGTGAGGCTGATGTTTTCCAATCACGTAAAAAGGAACAAAAGCGAACAAACGAACGATGTAGTCGTATATGTCGGACCTCCTTTCAACCAACGTTCATTTCAGTTTCTGAACCGTTCACTACAGGTAACGCAGATTAAAAACTTATGTTCGTTACAAGTGACATAGCAAGAAATTTCACTTTCTCCGTATGACTGGTGTTATATTTCATAACAAAATAAGAATTTGTTAAAAAGGGAAACGGAAGTAAGCATAAACCTAAAAATAAGAACAACACGAAACAAAAACAAGCAACAAAATCTTTTAATAAATCATTTAAGAATATAACAAAATTTTTCTTGAAAAAACGGTAATAAATCTTAATGAGGTTCACGACTAAATGTGGAAAATAATAAATTACGTAAACCATTGTTACTAAACAATTATCTTTATTTCTTCGCGTCAACTGTCGGAGATGTTGACGATGAAGACATTCAAAACAGAAACTGTGTCAGAATCGGGCTTTTGCTTTGAGGGAAGAATATAAAATAGAGAAAGGCCTGGTAGAATCAATTGGGGGGGGGGGGGAGAACCTTTTAATCCATGAACTCTGAAGCGTCGTTAATTCATAGTCATATAATGTTTTAGAACAGTAGAATCAAGGAACTGGCAATAGGCTATGGGGAGATACTACAAAAACACGGACGTTTTGTGGGGTTGCCTCTTGGAAAATGACAAAGCGAGGACTAAAAAGTCTATGGGAGGGTACAATACGACCTGAGGTTTGGAGGTCAATGGGCACAGCTAATAGTTGCCTTATAATGTTGCAATCTTCGGTATCAGTGGTGCTGAAAATTCGGGTCTTGCTATCACAGAACTCAAAAGTAAATTAGTAACATATAATATAAGTACTGGTCTTAGTAACACTTCTTGTCCTATTTTCGGTTTATGAATATTAGACTAATTATACTAACAAAAGCAACAATATTTTAGAAACAGGAGATTGTTTAAGTAAGCGTTAAAACATTAGCTTATGACGCATATAATTCAAACATTAATAACATATCAGTATTACCCAGAAAACTAAAAATTGTGTAATAAATTATACCCTAAGCAACACAAATATGGAACCAGCCTTCTAGGTTGTAAGGCCGTGTGGATTTATAGGTAGAAAACAACGTTTCGGAGGAACATACTGCCTCCACCCTCGTTGTGACGTCATGTGGACATGTAGGAAGATACCAACATTTCGGAGCAACATTTTATCTACTTACACATCGAAAGTGGACCATAATACAGCAGGCTGACAGTGACATCCCGACAGCAGTACGTACCTCGGTCACTAATGAAACAGATTACTTCGCTAAATACCACTGAGACAAATGTGCAAGAAAGAAGCTTATTGAATTTCTGTGCAACTTGCTACAAACTCTTTTCCTGTCACGTTTACGGCGTGGTAACTACGCCAACGCCAGCATACCTCCTTCAAATTTGTAATTTTTAAAGCGACTGTATCGGAATCAGTAACCAAGTATTGGTCCAGACTAAAGAAGGTTCTGCAATGAGATTAACACTAAGAAAATAAGTGTTATGTTACAGTGCCTGACAGTGAGAATTTGTTCGTGAATAAAAAGTCAAAATACCAGTATGATGTATTTTTTTTTTCAAAAAAGAGGAGCAACTTTGAGTCCAGCCGCTTCAAGAGAAACAATCACAACGTTAAGAGCACGAAGTGAAGCGATACACTGTTACATTCTTATATAAAGAAATTCAGAATAACTCTGAACCGTCCTATAGCAAATAGACCTAAGCGAAATGCATTTGGATAAACGAAAGACCCTTGCTTTAAAATAATTTCTGCGACATTTATAAGTTTGTAACTCTACATATATCATATCTGTAGAAAATAAATGCATTTCAGTGTTTCTAAATTGTTTTAGCAATGAGTAATAGCAGTCTTCTAGCATAAATAATTTTAATTTATAAACTATTAAACAAAAAAGAATTACCTAAACGAAGGCTGGAAATATTTGGGGAAAATTATAGGCGATATTATTAGGATAATTTAACTATATCATAAAGGTTTTAGCTCAATACATATAGAGGACTTTTAAAGTAAGACATGACATTGCAAAATTTTGAGATAAAATTAATGTCATCAGTATCTGTAAAAATTGTACTCAGAACCATTTATAGTACCCTTATATTTTGTCGAATGTATCTTTTTGCTGTAGCTACTGGGTTCCTACATTGGGACATTATCAAAAGTGCTATCTTTTCTCTAATTCAAATACAATATTAGAGAACATAAAAGTCAATCCTTCTTAAAAACTATATTAACTTCGCGCCATCGGGGTCCCGTGTACTGAAATGTTATATCTACCTGTAACAAACAATAAAAAAATGGCGATCATGCTAACTTGTAAGACTGGAAGTGTACTAGCGTTGAACTGGACAGTGGTTTTAAAATCTGAATAGTGGTCGAGCTATGAAAATACGTAAAATTAATCAAGTTATCAGAAAAACATATTTTTGGAAAAACAGAATGCAGTAACAATATGATAAAGATGCAATTTATTTTGAGTTACACAAATCAATATTCATTATAATGTTCGTTGATAGTGCTTACAAATGTTGCTAACCATTACTAATAAAATTTACTGTTCATTCGCCACCCATGTCTTTAAAACGACCTGAATTTATTACTGATGTTAGCCTCTGACACTAAGGGAAATAAAAACGATTTCATACGTCGTTTCTGTGTCGTCTGTGAGGTAAGCGCTCTTTGTAGGAAAAACAGCAACAATACATCAAAAGATAAATGGTAAATTTTTTGTTAAAATTTAGGTAATCTGTTTTGTTTATTTCCACTACGCACGTTTAGAAATAATTTTCACTTTCTGTTATCTATTTTCACTACGTTTGACGTAAGATAAATTCATTTAGAAGGACGGCCAGCATAGAAACATCAGATTTTAAAAATGAGAAAACTAAAACAAAGTTCTTTTATATATACGACCGACGTGAACTTCTGTCAACCAGTACAGAAAGTCAACTCGCCTGAGGCGAGCTGACCTCGCTATCCGTCGAGTGTAGTGCATAGCCACATTTTGCCGCACAAACATAATAGTCTGAGTGGTATCGAACACAGGAAGTCTAAAAAAGTTAACACTCCTCGAATGTGAGTTTTTCCAAAGAGGATTCGAAAACACGTAAGAAAAGTTAACGTTATGACACAAAATGACAAAATAAAGATTCTAGATGATTAATTTACGCCGTGGAATGTTGCTAGTTACATGAATCCCTTAAACATCACTGCTGTTTGTAGGTGCATACAAGAGCACACAGCATCACAACCCGAAAGACCATGACTGAGAGGTACATGACTTTTTAAAGGATTCATGTAAATAGAGGTAGACTGATCTACAAGTGGTCACTGAGAAATAATATTTATATTTTGGACAGTATATAGTTCTTTATCTACTACCCTGATCATCCCCTCTGATTCCCATGCCTTTTACTCCTAATGCACAGTTCTGTCCTGGTAAATTTACTGAAACAGGTTGAACATTAACCTTAACAGAAATTGTATAAACTTTAACGTATGAGACTGTGACTCCAGTTACTGTAGTGCATATCAAAAGGCTGATGTCAATTATAACACCTTAAACTAAGACACAGTTTGGAAACGAAAGTCTCCAGGCAAAAGACGATTGCAACACACATCAATGTTTCTCTGAATACATTTTATTTGAAAATAATTATGCACTTTCAATCAATATAAACACTTTAAAACGTTATAAATAAAGAAACAAAATATCAAAGCCCTGAAAACACTACTGACATTAAAATAATCAAACTCTGCTGAAAGTAAAATTCATGATCTAAGAGACAGAAATTCTGAATGTACTGAACTTCATAACTCTTAAAAAAATTGTTCTACTGCAGATATATTTTTATTGCAAAACAGAAACATGTCTATGCATGGACTGACCGTTCATTACAGAATAACAATTTCAAATGCAAGCAATTCAAGTAATATACGAGGGTCGCTCATTAAGTAATGCCCCACATTTTTCTCCTCAGAATATATTTATTCAAGATGGCTGAAATTTAGTGACAATATAAATCAATGTTTCCTTTACACATACATAGACCCCATCAACTTATATGGTTTTACGCAAGCGTGGAACAAGTGCACGTAGCCATGTCCTCACTGCTTGAATCACGCTCTCGTCATCTTCAAACCTTGTTCCGCGGATAGCATCTTTAAGTGGCCCAAAGAGATGGAAGTCGGAGGGTGGATGGGGCAGCACCGTCCAACCCAATTTGGTGATTTCTTCCCGGGTGCTCAGACTCGTGCAGGCGCAAAATTCCTCCTGGATGCTTGTGAGGCCGAAACCGTCGGAAACGCTTCGTGAGGGTTTCAGGGTCCCGATGTACGCGTCTCGCACCTCTTGGCATCACATCCACAAGAACGACCCCATCACTGTCCCAAAAGACAGTCATCATGACTTTTCCGGCGGAGGGAGTTGTCTTGAATTT